TGGGCTTGTCATGAGGTCGGTGAACCTCACACTGCACTTGCTCCCACCTTCTCCACAGCTTTGTACCTCATTTCAGTCACAATTTTTTACTCCTTTTCCTGGGAGAGGGACCCCAAGTTGGAGAACCTTCAAGCTCTATTAAATGTGGGTGTTTTTTTTGTTTTTTTTAAATCCTCCCCCAAGGCTATTTTTCCACTGATTTTTAGAGAGAGGAAGAGAGAAAAGGCAGAGAGGAACATTGATGTGAGTGAAACACATCGATCAGTTGCCTCTTGCATGTGCCTCAACCAGGGCCCGGGCTGGGAAGCAGCCTGCCACTGAGGTACATGTCCTTGACCAGAATTGAACCTGGGACCCTTTGGTCCACAAGCTGATGCTCTATCCACTGAGTCTAACCAGCCAGGGCAAGCTACATTAAATCTTGATCAGCCTCTGGTGCCGCTGGCACTGAAGAAGCACATGAGAATTTCAGCCGGAACCCAGGCAATTTCTCCTGAAACAGGATGTGGGTGGCAGCCCACACCCAGCTCCTGGGTCCTGAGCAGCCCCTGGGAATCGGATCCTAACTGCGGTGCCTGCCCTCTGAGCCAGCCCCTTTGTACTCCCATGACCCCGTTTGGCTCTGAGGACTAAAGTGATCTGTCATCGCAGGACGTGGTCAGTTCCAGGATGTCATTTCCATGAGCTCTGAACCCTGGATGCGGGTGCGAGGAGCCAGGGCAGCTCTGTGCCTCCCCTCCCCCCGCCCCATGGAAGAGCTGCTGGCCCGTGCATTGTGGGCCATGCGCCTGTAGATTGCTCTCATTTGACCCGCAGGGAGAACCAAACAGAACTTACTCTGTTGCTAACTCATTCCCATGTTTCCTCTAGGCCAGAGGTCGGCAAACTCATTTGTCCACAGAGCCAAATACCAACAGGACAAAGATTGAAATTTCTTTGGAGAGACAAAATTTTAAACTTAAACTTCTTCTAGCGCCACTTCTTCAAAATAGACTTGCCCAGGCCGTGGTGTTTTGTGGAAGAGCCACACTCAAGGGGCCAGAGAGCCGCATGTGGCTCGCAAACCAAAGTTTGCCGACCACGGCTCTAGGTCTTCTGTCCTGAGGCAGCACAGACTCACTCTTCACTGCCTCCTGCCGCGCATGCACTTCGCTCTTCTTCCTGCGCACCTTCTGGTGGGGTGAGCGTGACCAGGCAGCCCTGGCTCATCTCGTCCCATGAGGAAGTACCTGGGATTTCGCGCTGGAGGGTTTTAGGTCTGGAAGCGCAGACGGCACTCGGGAATGAGGGGCCCAGGGACTGCGGTGACCCTGGGTTTCCAACCTCCCCCAGTGAAGATGTCATGCCGGGGGCAGCGGTGCAGACACAGAGTCCTCCGGAGCGCGGACCTTTCTTCATGAAATGAGCGGAGTCGGTTGTGGCTGGAAACCCTGGGACGCTGTGAGGGATTCTGTGTGGACTCAGGCTATGTCACAGTGGGCAAGAGGACGCCCACTGAGGAGCCCGAGAGCACCTTGCAGAGGGACAGCACCTCCTCTGTAACTACTGCTTGCCGGGTCTTTATCAGGATGTCTGCTTGCTCTTTTTTTTTTTCTCTCTTTCAACTCAAACAAGTAACACTTAGCAAATAAAACTTCTATCCCAGACCCTGATTTTTAAGATTATATACTAGCCCTGGCTGGCATAGCTCAGTGGATAGAACATCGGCCTGTGGACTGAAGGGTCCCAGGTTCAATTCTAGTCCAAGGGCACATGCCTGGGTTGCGGGCTTGATCCCTAGTGTGAGGTGTGCAGGAGACAGCGATGGATGATTCCCTCTCATCATTGACATTTCTCTCTCATTTCCTCTTCTTTCCTCTCTGAAATCAATAAAAAATCTATATATATAAAAGCCTAGCAATTGGAATGGGGGAACAACCGGAATGACCTGTGGCTATGACTCACACTGCAGCAGCCAGCTGGCCTGATCCAGCCCCCAATCATCCCCCACCCCTGGCTGGCTGCAGCCCCTCCTCCCAGCTGCCCCTGCCCCTGATCAGCCCCCAACACCTTGATCAGGGGCAGGGCTGGCCTGCCAACCTCCTGTGACCCCTCCCCCACACCAGCCTGGCCCAATGGGCCCCTATCAGGGCAGGCCAGCCAGCCCTACCGGGCACAGAGTCATGCACTGGGCCTCTAGTATATTTATAAATAAATTATATGCTGTCTTCTCTCACTCTGCACCCTCTGTTCTCCCTTTGCAAGTAGGGGGCGGCTTCACTGTGCTCCTGTCCTGGGGGGAGGCCTGGCCATTCAGGCCACAAGCCCCTCCCTGTCTGGATAACCTGCTCCAGGAAGCCATCCTGATTGGCAGCAGAGAGCCAGGGCCGGTGGGTCAGATCTGTGCCCTCCTATGGCACAGCATCCTTGAGGAGCACACACCTAGTGAGCCCCCATTGACCTGGGCTGTCCGGGTGCCCAGCCCTGCCACACAGCCCACCCACCAAGGGCACCAGAATCCCCACCCCAAGGTGGCAGTCTGCCTGGAGGGGAAAGGCAGGCAGGAGGGAGGGGGACTAAAAAGCCCGGCCTGACCCTCATCCTGCACTTCCCACCCGTAAGCAGCACACGCCACTCTGCACGCACAGCAGCCACGGGAACCTGGCCCGAGCTTCCTGACTCTCTGGGGAGCAGAGTTATTTCGACTTCAAAGAAGAATGGAAACAGCACATTTGGAGACACCCATGTGCGCCCTCGGCCGGGGAGTGCTCGCGTTGTTGTGGGGGAAAGACAGTAGCTGGGTTACTTAGAAATAAACGGCTGCGGCAAACGACTGGGGAGATTGCTATGCCTCGACCAATGGTCCCCAGGGGCCCGTCGTCCCAGCGTGGGCGCCCGGGGCTCATTCTGGGGGTGCTGAGACTGGGACGGCCCTGGCCTCTGAAGCCACGTGTGAGAGGAAGCCAGCTGCTCGGCCGAACAGAGAGGAGGGGGTGCGGCAGGAAAGGAGAGGTCAACCGCTTGGCATTTACTGATTAAGGCCCAAATGCTTGCCTCTGTGCAGCGCCTAGAGCCACACCTCGGTGGTTTTCCTTGCAGCAAGCCTGTCGCTGTCATTTAGGTATATAATCACGCACACACATACATGCACACACATGCACAAATACACATGCACACACATGTATGCACACACATGCACTGAGAAGACTGTGCAGCCTTTTTAGCCTCCTCCTCAGAGGCGTGTGCTGAGCCCCGTGCAGTGCAGCCAGCGACCTGCTTTTGTTGGCTCCCCCGGACGGTGAAGTGGGAAGGCTGGGGGCTCGCTCGCCCTCCCGCCGCCCTCTTCCCCCACCCCTCCCCCCAAGCAGGGCTGTCCACATTGGTTAGAAGTGTGAAAGGCAGAAATTGGGGAAATAGCACTTTGTATAAGACGACCACAAGTGTTGGGGGGCGGCAGGAGGGGTAAGAGGGTGGGAGGACTTGGTAAAAATGTGTTTTCCTTAAGCAACCAGCGTCACAGACTTCAACCGGGTCTGTTTCTATCAAACCCCCGGCGGTGGATGCGTGCGTTTAGCTCTGAGGAGCCGGCAGCTCCGTTATTTCCCGGGCACGTCTGGGATGTGGCTCCTGGCGATCTGGTGAGACTCCCCCACGTCCCAGCCGTCTGTGAGGACTGGCCACATGACCTCCGGGTCGCCACGGTAATTTGTCATATTCACAGCCAGGGAAGGAGGAAATCTGCTAAAAATGAAGCCCAGGAGAGCAAGCCCGGGAGCCGAGGGGAAGGTAAGTGCTTTGTTGTTCACATGGAAGTCTCCTGGTGTCTAATGTTCATGAAAGGATGACATTGAAAAAGGCTTTGTCGTTAAATTTGACTCGTTTCTTTGGATCTGTAGGACAATCTTCAACTGAGAGAGGTTTCCACCCAAGGCTCGTGTTGATTATTACATATTTGCTTAAACATTTACCAGGGTAGACAGCCTGGGACACGACCTGGGGGAGCAGCTGATTATGTGTGCGAGTGTGATTTTCAGCTTGCAAGAAAAGAGCTTTAAGGATCACTTGTACTGTTTTTTTCAAAGTCCTTCCTTTAGATCAAGAGCAGAAAGAAAAAAAAGGGTAAGGTATTTTCCGATAAGAAGAAATACATCGTAGTGTTTGGATGGAGTGGGACCAAGCTGGGTCTTTGATTTTCCCGAGTGAAATACGGTGTGTGGTGGAAGTGTCTGAACCCGGGACTGCAAAGCAATTGTGAGGTCAAGACACATCCACTGAACAACAAACTCTTGTTTCCTCCAGGCAGCTAAACGCGGAAGTGCAGGGAGGAGATTAAAACAAACCAGTTTGGAGGGAGGAATGTGGAGATCTCCCCCCGGGTAACACGGACTAGCCGAGCAGGCTCCCAAGGCACACGAAATCATACCCAGACGGGGAAGTGCGCTAGGCAGGGGTCGAGGGCAAGGCTCCAAAGGTTTCCAAAGTCAGAACTGTTTACATTCCTTATACCTACCACGGAAGACTTACATAACTCTTCCCGTAAGGATAGGTAGCAGACTGTTAGTTAACTAGTCCGGTGAGGTTTCGCCTTGCGGCAACCCCAACTGATTTCTCTACTGGCCAAGGGGAAATCAGAGCCGGGGAGCGACCCCGAGAACTCTCTGATCGCTGAGAATCAATCACACGCCCGCCCTGACAGACGGCAGGAGGGACCCACGCGGACAGAGAAGCTGGAGCAGTTCTTTCCCCTCATCTAGATCCCTTACACCCGCAGAAAACAAGACAACATCTGGATACTGTTTCACAGGCAAGAATAAAGCACTTTTTTTGCCCCATCATTAAGTAAGAACCTGCTTTCCACATGCAAACAGCACTTGTAAATTCCCGCAGATAAGCTGGCCGCCTGGAATGATTGCAGGGAGTTTGAAAGGAATCCCGCTCTTCCATTACCGTGAGGAGGGCCGTGCTCCCGAGCTCGCTCCCACACGCTGCCTGCTCCGGGCTGCCCCCCACCTGCCTCTTACCTGCAGGGGCTGCGAGGCACCGTCCTGGCGGGAGGGGGGCTGCTGTCTGTCGGGTGGGGAGAGGGTGAGCCCAGCAGGTCGCCTGGGGAGCATAGGTGTCCAGGTTCCCCCAGGAGGAAGACAGCTCGCCTTGCTCCCTGTCAGTCAAAAACGAGTTGGTACAAGCTTGAGTAGGGTTTACCTGGAGGAGCTGAAGGGAGAAAGAAAGAGATTGGAAGAGACGGGGCGGAGGGAGGGAGGGCCAGGGAAGGAGGGAGGGAGGGAAGAAGGGAGAGAAAGTGAGGGGGGGGGAGAGAGAGAGAGAGAGAGAGAGAGAGAGAGAGAGAGAGAGAGAGAGAGAGTCCATGATGTCAGCAGCGTGTCTTAAGGAAATCTACAGACCAGGAGAGAAGGCGAGTGGCCCCCCTGCCGCAGCTCCGCAGACACCTGTGGAAAAGAACACCCTGCCCCTTTAAAGGACGCCTGTTCCTCTTTGAAGAAATTTCAGCCACTCTCCTCAAAGCCTTTGTAAGGTCCCTTTGCCTAAATAAACTATAAATAAATAACCAGGTTATTTTTTCTAAGTAACTTTCCTTTACCCCAAGTTCTCTCTCCTTTACCCCAAGTTCTCTCTCCCTTCCTGCTCTCCCCACTCCAAATGCATAGCGTCAATGCACTGCCTCCGGCAGATTTCAGGACAAACCCACGCAGGCAGTACCCACATCAACTATGAATCCACACCACGGCACAGGGGAATGCTCTGTGTTTCTCAGCGCAATGCCCCGGGGCCATGCTGGTTTCCCCTATAGGCTGTTTGCTTTGATGGGAAAGTGTTGAGCAGCTGGGTAGATGTGGGTCCAGATGGGTTCTTCAGGAGCTTAGAGACTGGGGCTGGGCACCGGCACTGATGCTCAGAGTCTGGCACTTCCATGCGAAATGGGCAGAAGCCCATCATCAAAGCAGGAAGCTGAGGGGGTGTCTCCCAGTCTCTGGTGGGAATGAGGACGGTGAGCTTCCTCCTTGGACACAGCTGTGTGTCTTCTTCTTGCGGAGGGAGGGAGGCTGGGCCGTGTGGGCCACCAGCCTTTCCGAGGCCGGAGCACGTGGAGACCCTGGAAGATTCTGAAAGACCATGACTTTTCCGCGGGCACTTTCGCCACGTGATTCCTGCCCTGGAACAAGGTCAACTCCAAGTGGGACGCTCCATGTCCCCTCTGCAGGCACCTGGGCCAGGTGGACAAGGCTGCTCTAAGATGGAGAGGACAGTAGGCCACATGCTTCATTGGAAGAGGAGGAAATATCGCCTCCCCTGAGTTTGGGGCCCGGGGGGGGGGGGGGGGGCGGGGATGACGAGGTGTGACGAGCTACAGCATTCTCTTTTTTGGAAATGGTTCTTGGGAAATGGCTCCCTTGGAAAATCATTTCTCCTCCCCTCTGCCTGACTCAAAGCCCTGCTCGAGGTCACTCCTTTCCCCGTTTCCCCAGTGGGAACCGCGAGCCAGTGTTCTTCCTTTTGGTTCTTCTCTTTCCCACAAAGCAAGGGCTTCCTCTCCAGCCTGAGAGACAAAGGTGACCATCAGCAGTGTCAGGGCTGGAGAGACGGAAGAAGCCACACAAGGTTCGGCTCTCAAAGCTGGCGGCCTCTCTCCAGAGCTCAGAGTCAGGCAGACCTGAGAGGAGGAGGTTGTAACGTCCCAGGCAAAACCAGGGCACACAGAGGTGGAGAAAAGGGAAAACCCAGAGCTCAGGCTCTGACCATGTCCTGCCTCAGAGGATTTGCCAGGCTGGTCCCTCTGCCTGGAATAGCCTCAGGTCTTCATTCTTCCGCTGGTCCGTTATCACTGCTCAGGTCTCAGGCCAAGTGGTACCTCCCCTGGGACGTCATTCTTAAGGTCCTCACCTCATATCATCCCCATCCGACTCTGTATCTTAACATTCCCTACTACTTACTCTGAAGGCCACTGAGCACTGTCTAAATTGTGCCAACTCAACTCAGTGTTCCACTTCAGAGGGCCACTGCACCTCCTTCTGGGTCCCTCAAGGGACATCTGACATGGCATAGTGTCCCCACACACACACACACACATACACCAAATATAATTGCCAAGTAGATTGATAAAAGGTTATAAATGAAGGTTATAATTTGTTATTATGGTTGAATTTTCATTCTTATCTTCTGAGTTTTAATTTGTATTTGCAGTCTCCCCTTTAATTAGTAAACTAACACTTGAATGCTCTCTCTACATTTAAAGAGCTCTTTCAATAATGTTTTTAATTTGATGCTCAGGCCAAAATGCATGATGAGCTGCATTTTAAGGGCAAGGAAGTGAAAACCAGAGAGGGCAGTTGATTTGCTCAAAGTTACAGAGCTGGGAAGAGGTAGATGGAGGCTCCAAACAGCTTTTCTCACTCACAGGCCATGCACTTTTCATTAGGCCACATTTTTCTCAAATTAGTCTATTGCAGGCATACATATGCATGTGTAGATTCCTTTGAGTATCAAGTAATACATGACATGAATTATAACGATGGCCTAATATGCTGGAAAGTTTTATTTCTTGCAGGACTGTGCATAGTAGAGCTCGCATCCATTCATAACAGTCTTGAAAGTGATGAAAGAAGAAAATGAGTCCAAAGGACTATAAATCCATGAAATAATTTAAATGTTAAGCCAATATTCTTCAGTTTGGTGATGTGAGCCTGTTTTCATTTGGAGATATTAAAAAAGTTAGACATTGAGGTTGCTGATCTGACAGAATTCACAGAAGGAGAGGCATATAAATATGTGATTAAAGTGTGGAGAGGTGAGTGGGAAAGTTCTAGAATAAGCATCTATACATCTACGAGATTTCTGTCACTGAAGACAGAATTTATTTTACATATTTTAATAGTTGAATGATCTAAGTATCTCTGGAAACTTCTGAGCTAATGAGGGAAATAAGACAACAACTAATCTTAACAAAAAAATATTGTGTTGCTCAATCTGGAACTCGTTTACTTCACAACCTGAGTCTAAGGAGTAGGGTCTGGGATCCACCATACAAGATTACTTCAAATACACAGTTAATCATTTCATAACTGAAGATGGTCAATGTTATCGGTCCTGTGACCTAAAATAAAAAACTAATATGAATGGCTATTCACTAAACCACCTTCCTCCCTTTCTTCCTTCCTTCCTTCCTTCCTTCCTTCCTTCCTTCCTTCCTTCCTTCCTTCCTTCCTTTCTTCTTCCTTCCTTCCTTCTTCCTTCTTCTTCTTTCTTCTTTCTTTCTTTCTTTCTTTCTTTCTTTCTTTCTTTCTTTCTTTCTTTCTTTCTTTCTTTCTTTCTTTCCTCCCAATTAATTGCAAGCAAAGTTCTTGCATGTGTCACATTTTAAATAGAACACACATCCAAAGTCTGGATTGTTACCCAAAGTTCTAAAACGATGTCTAAAAACTGGGCAGAGAAGATGACAAGAACTAGCTTTTTCAAGGGAGCCATTTCCCTAGAACCATTTCCAGAAAAGAAAATGCTGTAGTGCGTCCAATCTCATCTTGGCTTCAGTCGAGACATGAAAAGCTTTGAAGTGTGATGAGAGGGAATAAAAATACATGTTTACCTTTGAATAGATCTACTTAAGTTGGGTTAGATATAGATCTATTGGGGTGAGGGGTATGTCAGTTTTTAAAACATCTTCAAAGCTTTCTATGATCCCCACCAGCTTAGAGTCCTCCACGGGCCAGGCCAGTCTTGGTCATTTGCATTCAGTTTGCTTCTACCATCCCTGTCCCGGAAGTGGGTAAATGTCTCTTTGAGAATGAAGAGAGCCATGAGAATGAAGGATGTCCTGCCTCTGGCCTGTCCGGAGAGAACCTTTCATTAGGAAGCCATGGAGTTGAAATATCTTCTAGGAGTAGATATTCTAGAAGCAGATGTTGAGACAAACATTCATGTGCAATTAATAAAAGAAGTGCTCCTAGAGGAATTGGAAGGAAAGTAGGGGAAGCAAGTCAGAGGAGGGAGGAAGTCAAGTAAGAGTGCGATTGTAGGCCAAGGCCATTCCCTGCCTGACTCTGGAGGGAGTCCTGGAGTGAAAACAGTGTCTTCGGCAAGGGAGCTGGGCTTCCGTGCCCTTGGCCCAGTCAGCTTTGCTAGGAGTAGAAGGGGTGATGGGCGTACCGGGATGATTCTCTCACCAGCTGAGCTACCTGGCCAGGGCCCATAGCAAGAGGCTTTCTATTAGCCAAACAGGAGTAACTGGCCTTGTCACAAGGTCTAGGAAACATTGAAAAGCGCACCCACAAGGCCAGCTTTTCCACTAGGTTCCTGGGAAGACCTTTTCTTGGCCTTATTTGTTCAGTGCTACCCCTATGACTAGAGTAGTTGGCTTCTTAAGCTCTTCTTCAAAATTGTTTATTGTTGTTCAAAGTGTCTCAGGTCTTTTGCCTTATTCAGGTGGGACATGGTGGTTTGTACAACCTTACACTGTATCTAAACACACCCAGGCCCACTTTTACTAAATGGGCTTCTCTGTGGAAATTCCCATCAGTGACAGGGAGATGACCGCCTGGGACAGTGAATAGAAAAGCAACATCTTCTGAGCCCAACCATCTCAATGACGTGGCAATAGTTCAGTCTTACTGTCAACTCTGAATCAGCTTTACGGGCAATACCTGTGGCCAGGAACCCAATCCCCACCAGATGGCCAAATGCACTATTTCCCGCACAGTAGGCTGAGCTTGAGTCCAAACTCCAAAAGCTACATTCATTTTATTTATTTGTAAGCACCTCTGCAATTGTTTCATTTATGTAATTATTTTTGTACTTCATATTATAGATGTAATCATTTTTATGTTTCCAGTTTTATTGATAAATGATTGACAAACACCATTGTATCAGTTTAAGGTACACGGTGTGATGGGCTGATTTACATGTACTGTGAGATGATTACCACACTATCAGCCATCTTCTTTTTTAAAATAAATATATATATATACATATTTCTTTATTGATTTCAGAGAGGAAGGGAGAGGGGGAGAGAGAGAGATAGAAACAACGATTAGAGAGAATCATTGATTGGCTGCCTCCTCCATGCCTCCTACTGGGGATTGAGCCCACAGCCCCAGCATGTGCCCTTGGCCAGAATGGAACCTGGGATCCTTCAGTCCACAGGCCAACGCTTTATCCACTGAGCCATACCAGCCAGGGCAGCCATCTTCTTGTATTAATACAAGACAAAGAAAAGAAAAAGAAAATAAGGAAAAACATCTGTTTGTAATGAGAACACTCAGG